GATTGTCTCTGTCTAGAAGTCCAGCTCAGGCTTGCTGGTCGGTAGGGAAGGGAGTGACACAAACTGAACCATGCAGCTTCAGGATTTTTCGGGGATTCCCTTGGGTTCCGGAACTCTTCTAAGGGCCTTGGCAACCTTCCAAATACAAAACAACGAGGTCGATCCGCAAGATCCTTAAATACCTAGGACAAACAACTCTGGCAGCCCACCAGCCCAACAGCTCAACCCAACAGCCCAACAGCCTAAGAACCCAGCCCAACAGCTCAACAGCCCAACAGCTCAACAGCCCAGTTGCTTTGCGAAAACTCATGCAGGACTGGCCGTGCTTCTACTGCCAATCCGTTGCTGATGCCTTGCAGATTTGGAACGAGAGCGTGCAGGCGGAAGAGATGTGGTTTCTTCCGTGTCCTTTTTGGAAACCACCAGAAGTGGAATCCGATCGTTTCAATGGACACCAACAACGAATTGCAATTTTCGAAGGGGACATCCTGTCAGATGGGGTCCGTCTTTGTGGTGTTCTGTACTCTGCAAATGAACATGGAACCCAAACAGGGAGCCCTAAAAGGAGCTTCCTCTACAAAGGGGTGTTTTTTGGATTCCATGCTAATCTGGAGTACCATCCCCAAAAATACAATCCAAAGCTTCTGGAAGCCTGGGAAGAAGACCCAAGTCGGAGAATCCGGGCTGTGAGGGTTGGGCTCATCTCGGTTCCCAGAAATCCCTTAGACTGTTCGACTTTGCGATTTTTCGACCTTAGCCCCCAAATGCTGGTTTGGATTGGCGGTTTCTGGTTCTTGTAGAGGGTAGATGGGAAGCCACCCCTTAACCACTAAACCACCAATCCAAACCACCAATTGGAGGCTGATTGATGTAGAGGTGTGAACATCACATGCGCGAAGAGCTGAATTCTTAGCGAGGGATCATCGAAGCACGGTACAGCTTTTTGAGGCTCGATATCTTCATCGGTCCCCCCCGAATTGAGAGCCCACTCAATGGATTTATATTATTCAACGGCATGTTTTTTTTTCCCCCCCCAACAGCTGAAAGCTTTGGGGTCTCAGCCCAGATAGGCTCCGGGGAGGTCCGGGGCGGCCCTGAGGTAAGGTTCCACGAGGGTTCCACCAGGGTTCCACCAGGGTTCCACCAGGGTTCCACCAAGGTTCCACCAGGGTTCCACCAGGGTTCCACCAATCTGCAAGGGCTGCGGGGTGGTCCGGGGTGGTTTGAGGTAAGGTTCCACGAGAATTCCACCAGGGTTCCACCAAAGTTCCATCACCAGGGTTCCGCAAGGTTCTGCGAGGGCTGCGGGGTGGTCCGGGGTGATTTGAGGTAAGGTTCCACGACAGTTCCACCAGGGTTGCACCAGGGTTCCACCAGGGTCCACCAGGGTTCCACCAGGTTCCACCGAAGTTCCACCAGGTTCCACCAGGGTTTTACCAGGGTTCCACCAGGGTTCCACCACGGTTCCATGAATTTGTTTGAGGGCTGCGGGGTGGTCGCGTGGTTTGAGGAAGGTTCCAAGGGTTCCACCACATTCTGCAAGGGCTGCGGGGTGGTCCAAGGTAAGGTTCCATCGAGGGCTGCGGGGTGGTGGTGGTGTGAGGTAAGGTTCCAGGAGAGTTTCAGGGTTCCACAAGGTTCTGCGAGGTCCGGGGCGGCCCTGAGGTTTCACAGGGTTCCACACAATTCCGCAAGGATTTCACAAGGGTTCGCAGTGCGTTGTGCGCCCGCCGTCTTTGAAGCCATCGGAGCAGTAAATTGAGGGCTCAGAAGATCGCTTTGCTCATGGGCGGAACACTAAGCAAAACCGAAACCAATGGTTTTCAGCACACTTTCACTGTTTTGTCCCTTGCTCAAGTCACTTGCTCAGGCAACGCGGCCCGAAATGTTGGCTTTGTGGCAAATCAGATCACGTTGCTGCGGGACTCACGGTGCAGCAGAGTAAATGCTTGGCATTGCTGAGTATTACTTGGTGGGCTTTGGGTTCCAAGAATTTGAAAAGGCTGAAAGGGCTATGGGGTAAGGTTCCAAAAACGCTCCACGAGGTTTCCACCAGGTTCTGCAAAAGCTATGGGGCAGCCCTGAGGAAAGGTTCCAACAGTTTCACGCTGAGTTCCACAAAATTTCTACGAGGATGGTTTGCGAGGTTCACCGGGCCCAGGTCGGGGCGCGATTGCACCGTCGGGGCCCGTGTACCAAGCTGGCATCGCCTAGTTTTGATAGATACAGTTGTAAGGCCGCATCCTAAGGAAAGCCGGCGTTGAGCTTTAACATTGGTGGCTGGGGTTGCGCACCGGAGCATGGCCCCGATTGCACCGTCGGGTCCCGATCAGGCCCCGATTGCGCCGTCGGGCCCCGATCAGGGCGCGATTGCGCTGTCACTCTTAGCTTTGCTTTATAAAGTCACAAGCGGCATTCTCAGCAACACCGGCGGTGAGGTGGGTCCCGGGTTCGCGAGGATTCTGGGAGGGTGTGGTGCTGTTGGGGATATCGCCTGAGCTTATTATTTTTTTAAAAAAAACTAAGAAACTTTTTTTTTCGGTATGGGTTTGGGTTTTGAGATTATCCAAAACCCATACATTTGAACAATTGCCCAGTATTGCTCAGCCCAAATTTGAGTCTCAATTGATTAAGTATTGCCCGTTCGCTTCTTTTGAGATTGGATTTCAGTTCCCTTTGGTTTAGTATTGTTGGATTTGAGCTTCCATTTGCAATATTGCTGTAGTTCTCTTTTGAACTTGGAGTTCGGTTTATGCTTGATTTGGAACTGGATTTGAGCTTCCATTTGACTTGGTGTCCCCTTTCAATTTGCTGAGCCCAGGGGGTTCAAGCGCAACTTGGCCGGTTCTTGTTTTCGATTTTTGAGACAGGAGCAGGGTCGTGGTTGATCAATCGGGGTTTATCCAACCACTTCTGTGATATCTTTGGGAATCTCCCCTTTATATGGGGGGTTAATCTTTGGGGTTAGGCCCTTTTTGTTGTATCACAGAAGTGGATTCCATTTCCCACAGCCCTGGACAGGAGAATCGCATGAAGCACCGAGTCTTTCCATGAGGTGAAGCCAAGCGGAACAGCCCTCGCCTCGCCTCGCCCCTTTTCGAGGCAGCGACTTCGCTGACGCCAGAGTTCACAGTTCTAGACGATGGTGCCAACTTTACCAGGCGCGGAAACCGCAGAAACCGCGCTCCAGGGCTCGGATTTTGGGCCTTACCTGAACCAACCGAAAGAGTCTGGCGCTTTGGTGAGAAAAAACGCGGCCCGTCATTCGCATGTGAGCTTCGTCTTGTTTTGTCTGGGTTGTTTTCCGGACCCCGCCGTGGGAAGGGAACTTCGGGTCAAGCCTTTGGCCCACTTTGGGAGATGTCTGATGTCGGCAAATCACTGAAACCAGGCATCTTTAATGAAGGGGTTCGATCGCTTGCCGAAAGGAACTCATTTGCTAGAACTCACCCATTTCGGGTCGGCCGAAAATGGGCTAGGAGAAATTGACACACACATTGCTAGTCTAGTTGCACCCTGAGAATACAAGTACTTTGCCGAGGTACTGTTGGCTTTGGGGAGGAACACCACAACCCAGGGGCGCAATTTTCCCATATCCACCGCGGGTACGTATTGCTTGACTATGGCTCACACGAACTTAGACTCGGACATGATTGCAACGGACACCCGGCAGGTTTGTGAACTTCGCCTTAGGACTCGACATTACTTTGGGCAGATGCCGGGTGAGTTTTCTCAAGGGGTGTCACCTGAAATCTAAGGGACCTAAGCCATGGAATACTTGTCACTGGGTGCCCATCCGGCCGGACTCCGGGAATTCGGGACTCCGGACTCCGGACCGGGACCCCCAGTCTGGAACAAGCCAAATTTGACTAGGGGTCCGGATCCAAAGCAAGGGGACCCCGGCCATGTTCCAGCCACGCACTCCCCAACTTTGAGACCTGCCCACGTGACATACCGCCTTTTCTTCTGTTTTGTTTTGCCACGGATTGTAGTTGGAGAAACGAGGTTTGAAACCAAATCTCGGCTGAGCCGTTTTTTTGGGGGGAAACACTTGCCCGAGACATCTGAAGTTTGATAAGTTTCAGAGAAATGGAAGCAGTCATGACTGAATAAGTCTATGTTTTTTTGGTGGCACCACCCCTGGGTTCCATTTGACGTTCCATGCTCTCTTTTGGGAAGACACACAACATGGAAATTTAACTCCACCTCCTCCTCATAGTTTATTAAGGTAATAAAGGGTGCCAAATGATTTCTAATAGTTTATACTCCCTCATCGAGACTAAATCTGGTTTTCAAGTACCCCCACGCCCCATAATTATTTGTAGTGTTTTTTTCCCCCTCAAGAAAAGAGACACCCATTTACAGGCGTCCGTCAATCTGTTTTGGACCCTCCAAACGTGACAATTTCGTTACAACCTACCAGTAAAATGCAACCGTTAAAGCGGACATCCAGTGACCCCTGATTTAGGCTCTTACGCCAGGTCGTCTTTTTTTGAGGGTATCCCGTTGTTGGTGGTTTTGAAAAAAAACAGCAGGAACACCGACGCCATATTGAACAAAGGGACAACCACCATGTTTGGCGAGCCATTTGTATCCTCTGGCGGTTTTAAAGGGATAGCAGCATGCAGGAAAGCCGAAGCCGGCTCTTATATCCGGTCGTTCAGGTTCAGGGCGCGTTGGGGGGTTGGTTTGGGGTGGGCTCAGGGGTCTGTTCAGGGTTGGTTTAAGTTAGGTTCGGGGTGGGTGCAGGGTTTCTTTGAGAGTATCCCTTTTTCGGTGGTTCAAGGGAAAGCAAAAGGAAGACCACCATGTGGGATAGGAAAGCCGAAGCCATTGGGGTGGACCTAAAGACAGACACGTCCACACCCGAGCAGATCCACACCAGGTGCCCCTAGACCACACCCGGGCTCCAGAAACGCGCGCACGAGGGCCATGCAGAACTACGAGACCTTAGCGGCGGATGGTTCGGTGGACGTGCTGCTGGGCCCGCCCTTGTCCTCATGGAGCGCGTCTCGCCGAATTCGAATTCGCCGGAGGTTGGTATTTGGGTCAGGTTTTGGGAGAGGGTATCCCTTTCTGGAGGAATTCGAAGTCGAATTCGTTTGCCATTTCTTTGGGAAGAAGTCCAGGAGTGAAACCGGCAGTTGTATTTTGTGTTGGAGGGAGTCCCCTCCCCCTCAAAAAGAGACTTTTTTTGGGAGAGGGTATCCGTTTTTGGTAGGTTTTAAAGGACACCAACAGGAAAGCTGCCATGTTCAGTCTGCTTGGGGGGGGGCCCTAAACAAAGAGACCATTCCATATGGTATTTGATATTTGGATATTTGGGTATTTGGGGAGGGTAGTTGTTTCCTGCGGCCCTCCCCCCAAAAAATAGGTTGCCAGGGTCATGCCCTGGCAAATGATTTGCCATACTGATGAACCAATTTGAGCTGACTTTCAAGTAGGTCCCTTGGTTTCAAGCACCAAGTTTGGTTTATCACAACCCGGATTCCCAAATGAAATCAGAATCACCATGAAGGTTTCAACGCAGGGCGGAAGTTTCTTGATTCCAGGTTTCTCTGCAGGGCCCAGAATAAAATAGCATGCTCCAAACAAGTCTTCCCCGAAAAAGAAAAAGGAAAAAAGGTCAGTTATGCAGACAGCCCAAGAAAGAAAGGCCTTCTGTCATCCTGCCCACGTTTGTTTCTGTTTGGATCCATAGCCTTCTGCACCGAATCCAAAGGGAAGGCTTCCTGCAGACGGGCGACGGCCAGTGCGAACCTGGCGGAACCCAACTTGTCCCTCTATTTTATCCTCTTTCTGTTTGCTGTTGTTTGTTGAGTGTGGCTCAAAATTAAAAGGCTAGATGTTAGTCTTTGGTTCCATTTACCAAGGTGCCATTTTGGTACATTTGTTTGAGCCACAGCCTGTCGTGTGCTTTGTTTTGCTGCTTCTTCTCTTCTTTTTTATTTTGGGGGGGGAGGGCTTTGCTTACGCGGCACCTGAGGCAGCTTCGATGGCATGTCTGGGGGCCAAAGGTTTTTGTTTGTTGTATGTGGGGTCAACGAATCACCAAAGTCCCCGGCTTTTTCGAGGATCCGGATTAATCCCAGATCAAGACGAGACGTTTGGACTCTCCCCATTCCCATTCTCAAACGTCCTCTCTCTTTCTTTTTTAGGCGACCCCTTTTTTGGAGGCTTGTTTGAAAGGGAAACAGAAGGGAGCGAGGCCGCTTTTGACTCATAGGGTTCCAGTTTTTTTCTTGGGTCCTCGAGGCTGCAAGCGCGGCCGTGGCCAGCAGTCACAACAAGGTGCTCATCGCCTGGGCGGCAGGTTGGGTCAACTACCTCTCCGACTTCAGGAGCCATACCGCACTCTCTTGAGCTCTCGGGACGTGGCTTTCCTTGAACACTCCCAAGCTCCCTAAGCTGGTTTAGAGAAAGAACCCACCGTCCAAAGGGATCCGTGGGTCCAAAGGAAAAAAGAAAAGAAAGCTGGTCGACGGTCCAACAGAAAGTACAAGGAAGAGGGACAGACACCAACCCCCATTCTTCTGGTCGCAGGGCAGCAGACTATATCATGAATATATATATATATAGGGAGAGAGAGAGAGAGAGAGAGAGAGAGCGAAAGAGAGAGGGAAACCAGAACAACAGCCCCAAAGCAGGGTTCGGGTCTACCAAAAGAGAAGGACCCCTCCCCTCGGCAGGACGGAGATGTGTCCATACTGCCAGACCGAGTGGCTTCAGGATTCGACTTGGCAGTCCCAAGCGAAGCTCGGCTTCGATGGGGTATCTCAGTGCGGGTGGCTTTTGAGCGTCACCTGTTTGAAAGGCCAAACAATTGAAGATGTGTGCGGCTTCCCTTTACTTTATGGCAATTTGGTCACGGATCATTTGGACTTTTTGGTTGAAACAGTGGAGTTTCCGTTGTATCCATTGTACCCACACAAGGTTAAACACCTTTTGCAGAGGGTTTTTAAGTGTCACCACTTGAAACAGTTTGAGCTTCGGATCCAAGGTGGATTTTTGATCCAAGGTGGTGTTTACACATCACGTTTGCAAAGGCCAATATGTCAAGGCTCCCAATATGTTCCTCTCAATCTGTCCAGGGACAGCTTTCCCATTTCCGGGGTTCCTTCTTTCGTCTAGTGTTTGAAAGGAACGATCCTTAAGAGTGGAGATGGAATCAAGCCATTCAAAATGTAGAATCTATGTAAGTCAGCATGAGAGGAGCATCGGATTGGAAGATTCAGTGCCCCCAGACATGGGGTGCCCATTTTCTTTGAGGCGATGTTGCCGATGTTTCCACCTTTGAAGTGGCCTTGTGACATGAATCGGGGCCACAGGAACAAAACTGATGTCCACCACTTTGGGTCGATTAAAAAATCACCCACGTGGGAACACCATATGATTTTTGACACACGGGTGTCTTAAAAGGGGTCCCCTTTTCTACCCTTGGTCAGGGTTTCCTCCAATGTCCATTGTTGGAACCTCCAAAAGTGAATTGCAACCTTAAAGGGAAATCCAGTGACGCCCCCCCCACACACACCCCCAAACCCCCCCACACGCCCCCACACACCCCCACACACCCCCACACACCCCCACACACACCCACACACCCGCACTGTTGGTTGGTGGTTTGGTTTGGTTGGATTTGAACCCCAGTACTTGAAGCTGGTGGGAAGGTGATCTTTGGTAATTTGAAGCCGAAGGGGAAACCACGTAATGTTGACCCCGGATTCATAAACCGGTTTAGTAATAGGGGGGTGCTCACCTCCAACAGTGATGACTCTCCACTAAACCCTATTAATCAACCAGGGGTTTATTAATCCGGGGTAGTTTTTTGTTGTAGGTTCCCCCCATTCCAAGACGCCCTGTTGTAGGCTCTTCCGGGCATTCGTGAGCAACACGTGTCCTGCACAAAGGGCCTCAAAGAAACACGGAGTTCAATGGACCCCTGTGATACAAGGGAATCTCCCCCTTTATATGGGGGGTTAGTCTTTGGGGTTAGGCCCTTTTTGTTGTATCACAGAAGTGGTCATTTCCCACAGCCCTGGTTTCGTTGGCTCCCTCATTGTTCAGATCGCTCACCTTTTCAGCTTGGCGCCTTGGCACACTTTCTTTTTCTCAACTTTCTTCCAGGTCGGATCCAGGGGTCAGCTTCCATTTGGTTAAGAAGTTTTTTTGTTTTTCCCCTGTTGGTTTTAAAGGGAATCTATCACTATTGGATGTTTTTTTTTTTTTTTTTTTATTCTTAAATTTGTTCCAGGGGACTTAAGCAAATGGAGGTCAAGATGTTCCGAACAATGGGACTGGATCCGAATCTGAGGTACAACAGCACGGAGTTCTCCGGCAGCAGAACCGACGCCTCCATCCCCTCAGCAGGCGCGGAGTCAGAGCCCCGAGCGCGATAGGTGGGGAATGACGGGGTTTTGGGCATGAACCGGGTTTGGGGGATTCCCCAAACACACCATACTGTGGATGGTTGCGAGATCCATTTCGCACCACCGTTCAGATTCTCTGGAATGATTCGATTCTTCTGCAAATACCAACAAATTGGTTCCCACGTTTCAAAGTAGTGCAGGATCTTGTCCATCCACTCTAGGTGGGATGGTTTTGCGCCGGAGTCATTTCAACTCATTCCCTACTGAGAACCAGTTGTTTTGGGGTTTTTGATCGGAGACAACAGAGAAAGAGGCTTCGGAATTGCACAGTCCAGATTTGGGTCCCCGGACGTCCCCAAAATTGCCGTCCGGAAGCCGATCCCGTTGAACCTTCCGAAACCCGGTAGAATCTTTCGGGATCCGGAACTTTGCGAACTTGACCTGATAGCCTTTGCAGTGCCCAAAGCATTTGGCACATGGGTGCGGCTCAAAAATTGGGGTCCAAAATGGAACCCTGGTACATGGACAAGTAGACCAACACCTGCGCAACCCCAGCCGCTTCGTTTTGAGCCACACCCAAATGACGGGTTTGGAGCTGCTGTTCATTTGCTGTGAGCTTTTGGACAGCTAAAGACTGCTAAGCTATCGCTATAAACTTTAATTGGGGACCTTAATGGGACATCCATTTAGATGGGTTTGTCTTAAAGAAGAAGCCAAGCAGCTATCGCTGTTTGGTCAAGCTATGTACCTGTACCCTAAAGGAACCCTGATAGCTCCTTGGCTTTTTGTTGGTTGCTATTGGCCCCCATTAGGACTGGGGGGCCCCATTGGGGGTGGGGGTGACGATAGGATTGATGCAAGGAGCAGGTTGCAGGGTGGTTCTCTCCGTGCATAGGTGGGGATTCTATGATGACCCTGACACAAGGTGACATAACTTGGCGGTTTCCAGCTATACCCTAGACCTTCACAATTTTTACAAGATTGGCGGCATTTAAGTCATACAGGGTTCGCCCCCCCATCAAAAGAAGGGTTGACCCAATTTGGATGATGACAATGCTTGGGTGAAGAATGGTGGTCATAATATAAGCCCCCGTTGTTTGAATGGTGGTTTGAATCCCAGGGCTTTTCTGCGATTTACTAAGTGCCGAATTCGCCAACTGAAAGGCGACTTCCCTTGGTCATCACGACAGGAGCACAGCCCAAAAAACGCATATGTTTTTCCATGGACATCCATGGTGGTTTGAATCTCAGGGTATATATATATAGATATATAGATATATACATATACGTACGTATATATATATATATGTATATACATATACGTACAAATATATATATATATATATATACACATATATATATATACACACATGTACGTACGTATATATATATATATATATGTATGATCAACGCACCGTCGAGTCACTCCGTTTCGCCCCATCCGCCTGCGAGGCGGTCCCGTGGATCCGAACCTCGCCGCCAGACCGCACGCGGGAGATGGTTTTCCCATGCCATGGGCGGGATCCCAACACACCACGAATATTCTGTGAGGGTCCAAGTACTCACCAAGATGGTGCGGACTTGAAGGGTGCCTTAGTGTTTTTTCCATTCAACCCACAGGACCCAACTTGGACCCAACTTGGATCTACTCAAACCTGATCACTTTCTTCGGAGATGTTTCTCCTTTTGGTGGACCCACTCTGTTCAGTGGCTCCAATTCTGTTTCCTTTTTTTGGTGGCTGCCCCACCAAAATGGTCCAAGCCCGAAAAAGGGTTCCAATTCGTTTTTTTTTCCAGGGTCACTGAACAACTGAGTTCCCTGAACCCATCCAAAATGAGTCTCCCCCCCCCCCCAAACAAAAGACATCCACCTCCCTTTCTGTGTGCCTTTCAGCGTTTCGTTTGGCTATGAATAGATGGATCCTCACTTTCTCATTTTCTCTTTCTCTTCTCTTTCGCTTTCTCTTTCTCTTTCGCTGTCTCCTTCTCTTTCTCAGTTTCTCTTTCTCCTCTTTCTCTTTGCGTTCATCTCTCTGCTTCCTTCTCCTCCAAAATCTCACTTCCTAACTCTCTCTCTCTCTCTCTATTTCTTTATTCAATTTTTATAGTTTTTCTTTCTTTCTTTCTTTCTTTCTTTCTTTCTTTCTTTCTCTTCCTCTATCTGTAGCTGGTTTCGTCTTCTCCCTCGCTTTCTTTCTCCTTGTCTTCCTCCCCATTCTTGTGTATGTTGTGCAAATGATCTCCGATGCGCGCGTTGGGTCAAGTGAGCCCACCATTTGGCATACCGTTTCTGATCACCCCGAGAATCCAACCGAAAATTCCCTGGGCCCCAGAATAAAACCTCTGGAATTGCCCCAACAAAACGAGCAGGCAACATGGAACCAAAAACGAGTGTATGTGGAAGGGAGCTCCTTGGGATGTGGGATCCCCAAAATTTGCCATGAGTTTGCACACAAAGAGGGAGCCTTTCGGAGCAACCGATCGGAGTTCTGTAAGGAATGGTAGGAATAGCAAGGAGTGGTTGGGGTTCTCATGGTGCCGACATCGACGTTTGGCCGAGGTCACATCCACAGGCATAGAGGCAAACACGGAAATTGGCATTTGAAGGCTGATTGGTAGAACCCGTTCTCTTAATTGCTCTTCAGAACTAGTCTCCTGCGTGTTTTTGTTTGAGGCTCGGTACCCTTTTCAGCTTGTTTTTTTTAACGGGAAGCCCGAAGGGCAAGCCAAAACCATTTTGGGAGTGCATTTGCCATTTTTGCAACGTACCCACGTGGGTTTGTCTCAAAACAGGTGTAGTTTGTTGGCTTCCTTTTTGGTCTCCTCCCCTAAATGATGTCCGCCCAAGGTCTTTCTTGATTTTCCCCTCTTTTGTTTAGTGGACCTTGACAATTTTGTGGCTTTCCTGCTGGTTTCCCTTTAAAGCCACAAAAGCGGGGTAGCCTCAAAAACCGGCAACCGACGCGGCCACGAGACTCCAATCCCGAGGTCTACGCCCTGGACACGAGCACCGTGCTGGGGGAGGGGTTGAAGCGGGCGGCCGCGTCCTTGCAGAGGAAGGCGGAGGCGGAGGCGCAAGCCGGGCGAAAGCGAAAGCCGTTCGCTCCCGCGATGTTTTTTTTTGGCCGGGCCGAAAGGAAAACGCCGGCAGGTTGGTTCACCAATCGATGTGTTGGAACTAATCGTTTCCCCCATTTTTTTCGCTAATTGTTTTTTTCTTCCTGGAGGGTTTCTTTTAAGATCCGCCCAAAGCGTGGGTGGACCCCACCTTTTGGTGAGAGAGATCAACGGAGCTGGGGATTGGTATTCAGCTCTGACTTTGCGATTTCAGGGCGCCTGTGGGAGGCACCTAGAGTGCTGCAGGGATATGGCGCTGTCTCTCTTGAGTTGGAACCCTTTTTGGGGTTGGTTCAGAGAGAAGCCAAAAGGAAAGCCGTTTTTTTTTCCTCCATTTTTTTGGGGGTCTCCCAAAAAGACGAGCCACTCATATAGCAGCTTGGTACCTTTTTTGGGGGGATGGGACACCTCCTGATTTGTCGGTTTCAGCCAGTCCCCCAACGGGATGGCTTCCTTTTGCAGTTTTTGTCTTAGGATGGGGTTTTCCTGAATCAATCAGCTTTGTTGGTGGTTTGGATTGGTGGGGATTGAGAACGGGTCCCTGTCTTTTGCTATGGATAAATGGGACACCACCCCTGACCTCCAAGCCACCAATCCACCAGCGCAAAGCCTGTCTTTGGTTTCAAGTACTTGGACGAAAGAACCAAACGAGCCCGTGGCGTTTCTGAGGGTACCCCTTTTGAGGTTGGCTTGACAATTTGGAGCGGAACATGTTGGCTTGCTGGCCCCCCATTCGTTTTGAGGAGGTTCCACATTTTGACACACACACCCACCCCCTTTTGAGAGCCAAGGGCATCCGCAGGGCATCCTGGTGACGTTTAGGATTTGGACCCCCATAAAATGGCTTCGGCTGTCCTGTTCTCCAATTGCCACAAGGGGTCAGCGATTTTCGCCAGTCGCGCGGCAGAGACACCCCGTGCACAGTTCCCAGACCGAAACAGACAGGACTACGCCACGTTTTCTGGGAAACTATCTATGGCAGGGGTTTGGGTTTGGGTTCAAGGACCTCCAAAATTGCGGTGTTCCTTCTGATGTTTAGCTGCAAGCAATCCTTGAACAGGGCACTCCCGGGGAGAAAAAGAGGAGCACACACAAAAAAGAAGCAGAAACACAATGCCCGTGGGCTCAAAGACGGCACCAAAAGGAATGTGGAGCCAAAGACTAAGACCTGCGGTTTGCCCTAGCTCTTGCATTGTGCACCACACCCAAATGATCCCAAGCTGACCGCCAAGAGTTGTTCTGACTCCTCCCTGGATGCCAGCGTCGGACGAAATCAGGCGGGGGGAATGGTTAACTGGCTCTTCGTGTACTTCTACGGCGCCAGCGGGGAGGTGCGGGGGTGAGATGTGGGTTATGGCTCGCGATGTCGGCAGAGGCTTGGGCAGGAGGTTTGTTGAAAGAGTGGCTCACTTGTCCAAGACCAAACTTGCATCGTTTGGTTTTTCAAGGCAATGTGGTTGTTTCTTTTTTAACACCAAAGCACTTTACCACTTTTGTTTGTCTTCATTTAGTTGTGGGAACCGAACAAAAAGAAGAAAAGTGTCCCACCCACCCACCCCCCGCCCGCCCGCCCCCCCACCCACCCACCCACCCACCCAACCACCCACCCACCCACCCACCCACCCAACCACCCACCCAAAAAAGAAGCACCACAAATGAAAGGGCCTTGCAGCGATCTGCTGGAAATGAACGGTTGCATTCGGGTAAGTATCAGAGATTGGGGGGACCCCCAAAATGGATTTCCTTTTATTTCCCTTTAACCTGGAAGGTACAGAGGGAGCCTTGCGAAACCCTGGACCCGTCCAGCCTGCGAGCTTGGCGTGGGGTCTCGTTGCTGCCCGATAAGAGCGCTTCCCGATCCTTCTTTCCTGGCTGCTTAGATGGTCTTGGACGAATCGCTTTTCTGGTTGGTAACCCTGGTAGGGGACTTACAACCATGCTAAGTGGGTTACAACTAGGGTTCCCACTTAGCGATTCCTCCCAGACCATCTAAGTAGGCACCGCGAAAATGAAACCATGGGAAAGACACCAGAAGGCTTGGTATTTGCAGGGGGAATCATCAGAAACCTGGGTTCCTGGGTTCCTTTGGTGGATTCATGAGCGGAGAAAAACGTCCAAAACGACCATCTGCTTCAAGTAGTCTGAGTTTCGGAGGTCCTCAAACAACGGGGTTCCGCGGTTTTTTTCAAGGCAGATGGGGTTCCGTCAGTTTCTACCATCTAAGTAGGGGACTCGGGTAAATGGGCCCACTCCCCGAACTTGCTCGCTCGCTCTCAGGACGACTGTCTGGAGTACGAGGCGGGCCGTTCCTGGACCTTAGGAAAGCGACCTCTAAGTGGCTTCCAGTTGCATAAGTTGTTTTTTTCCCTGTTGGTTTTAAAAGGAATCTAGCACTATAGGACATAACTTTGTTGGTTTTTTGAGGAAATGGAAGGGGGCAGTTTCATTCGTTTCAAGTTACCAGTACATCCAGGGAGGCCCTTGTAGCAGGTCCTAATGAACCAGCTCCCATTGCTTGCACCAAAGGAGAATCATGCGTTTTTCGCATCCGAAAGGAACCTGTCAAATGAATATCGCAGGATTGCCCTTTGTGTGTCTCAAGGCATGTTGTCATCAAGTGGATCCTTCGCGTGCCGCGGCTGGACGTGACCTCGGGCATTTACATTGGTAGCGGAGCCGACGCTCTTCGGTGGCACCGATTGCGGGCGTGGGCCTTGGGTTGATCATCTACGGCATCCTGCTGTGCATTGAGAGCGCCGACCTCCTCCTTTTGTCAGGAACTTGCATTGCAGTGGCATCGACCTCATGGACGACGGGGAGTTCGGTGAGGGCGACGAGTATGCGGACCAACAGGAGAACGCTGAGGAGAGACTGAGTGGGTCAGTCCATGGGAGCTCAGCGCGATCTGTGTCCTGGGCAGAGCAGTGGACAGCTGCGGAGTGGCACGAGTGGTATGAACAACAGCGAGTTCGTTGGGATTTGCAAGGCAACGGTTCCCGGCGAGAGAGCAGCGCATGGTCCTGGGTGGAGGAGGAACGAGATCGCGGCGGTGGCGCAGACAAGATCCTGGTCCCGGAGTTCTCGGCGGAGGGCGATAGAGATGGGGTTAAGGCGCGGGGCTATCTCCGGAAGGTGGAGGCGTGGAGACGTGTTGCAAAGGTCAAGAGCCACAAGCGCTCTACAACCATCTCTCAGGACGGGCTTGGTAAGATGCGGAGGAACTGGATCTGGAGTGGCTAGATGGAGAAGCAGGAGTGAGCTACTTCATCGACTGGGTTCGCAACCGTTACCTGGACAGGGAGGTCATCAAGGTCGGCAAGTACATGGCGGACTTCTTCAAGAACCTCAAGAAGCATCATAATGAGGACGTGAAGGAGTTCAATCAAGAGTTCGACCGGCAGTCTGCCAGACTGAAGGAGGTGGGTTGTGCTTTGCCGGATATCTGTCTGGCATGGTGGTATATGGATAAGCGCGGCTCGACAACGCGACAGAGCTCAACCTGTTGTCCTCCACCGGTAACGACTACAACCTCTACAAGCTCCAGGACGCAGCGATCATCCAGGATCGGATGGAGGCCTATGGGAGTCTAACGGGCGACGACGCAACGACAAGCACGACTACAACAGGAAGGGGCAGCAGGCCTACGTGACGGAAGAGTTGGAGGAGCATGACACCGAGGACGGTGGAGGGCGTCGATGAGGAGGTAGAGGAAGCGTACGTCACCTACCAGAATGCGAAGTCCAAGTACAAGACCATCATGAACGCGCGGGGGGACCAACCCGAGGGCAAACCAGGAGGAGCGCATCAAGGCGGCCAAGGCGAGGTCCTACTCACAGCGTCAAGAAGAAGGGGCAGTGGCACAAGTATCCTGAGTGTCCCCTCAGCCACTCAAAGGAATCACTCCGGCGAACGCCGGGAAGCTCATCAGGTGAAGTTCTGCCATGTGGCCTACATGGTGAACGATGTGAAGGACACTGAGCTCTACGGCATCACGGATTGCGTATGCAGCCGGACGGTGGCGGGAAGACCGTGGATTTGTAAGATGGCGAGGAAGGCGAAGGCAAATAACATTCCCCACTTCTTCATCGCGCAAGATGAGAAGTTCAAGTTTGGCGGACCAGACATTTTCCATTCCGAGCGTGCTTTGGTGGTTTGGCTTCAGATCGGTGGGTCACCCTTCATGCTGAAGATTGCCGAGGTCGGATGCGTGCTGCCATTGCTTTTGAGCCGGAATGTCTTGGCGGGCCTGGGTATGTGCTACGACATCAGTAGGCATGTCGCAGACTTCAGCGAGCTCGGTGTGAAGGGCAGCCTATGGTAGTTGTGACCGGGAGTAGTGTCCGTTGGCCGTCCTAGCCGGAGGCTGTGGATTGGTCAGTGGTGGAATTGGACATTATCAAGCCCGCTCGTGAGTGCTATATGCGACTGGTTCTGGGCTTGGTTGACAGGGAACAGTATTTTTAAGGATTTCAGGATAGAAACAGACACCCACTTTGCTCGGATACATGTGGTACTACGCAAGCGACCTTTTCACCCCAGTGTTTGGCAGACCTCGAATGACAAGTTGAAGCGAACTTTTTACTGGAAGCTTTGGGTAGCGAGTGCGTGACGGTCATGATATCCTGCCAGACGTGCAAGTGGGACATTCAGAAACATGACTTGACGAGTTGCGAAACTGGGAGTAGTCGTGAATTGTGGATCGGCCGGAGCATTATATTATCCCTCGAGCACCACGCGATACGGACGGGACCGGCGGCAGCTCGAACCTCAATTCGCTTTATGTCCGAGCTGAAGCCATGGAAGATGAAGAAGGGAGAGCTCGTGGAGGCGCTGAACGACAAGCTGATCGACTACGACGAGAAGGCAACGGCGCCGGAGCTGCGGGAGATCCTCAAGAAGCATCTGGACACGGTACAGGAGTTGGCGAAGGGCTACACGCGCTTCACGGTGGGCGAGTTGAGAGAGATGTGCGACAAGAAGAAGCTCAAGATACCGGAGAAGGCCAACAAAGGGTGTCTCATACAGCTGCGATGCGCGGAAGGCGGGCGTGGCAAGGAGGAGATCACCGGCTGCGGGCAGTGGAAGAGGTGGCCAAGAACGAGCGTCCGACTGCAGCTCTGGTGAGGTTTGCGATGTGGGCCAAGCGCTGGATGGAAGTGGAGGCACTCGAGGAAGAGGAGATCGACCCAGAGACGACAGCGATGGTCCCCAAGAGCACCATCGAGTTCAAGCCGATGATCCGCAAGAAGTGGACAACGCCTACTACGACTGCGAAGAGGGGGACACCGGCAACGAGCGACTCGGACGGGTCGTGGTTGCAAGCAGATCCGATGGACTCGGAGCCAGATGCGGAGACCAGCAAGAAGATCTTGGAGCTGGAGACGCAACTGGCTATGCTGAGACAGAAGCAACGATTGGATCCTCCCGGGCGAAGTGGAAGCGCAGGCAGTGCTGGGCAATGAGAGAGGAGCGGATCAGGCAGAGGGCGTCAGTGAAGAAGGGCGAGATCGAGGTGGACCACAACTCTCCGGACTACGTCTTGGACGGTGACGAGGGCAATGGCACCTACGATCAACTCCAGAAGGGGCGCAGGGTAAAGAAGTCGACGAGAAAGATGATCGGCAGCTGGACCCGGAAGGCATGGCAGGCATTTGTCTGCACTGCGCTAGCCCTGTCAAACCCCCTCATTGCGGAGGCGGACGAGGTGGTGATGAAACCGATCAAGGATCTGTACAACACCTCGGTGCTCCCCAAGTTCAAGGAAGAGGGACAACCGGCTGTCCTGGACAGTCATGACGTTATGGAACCACGTCCTCCAATTGGGCCAGGGTATCCGCATCAAGGAGGTTCGTGAGTGCATCCTCAAGGATATCACGCAGTTTAGGCCGACACGGCAAGACGAACCAACTACGACAGCTTCGGCAACGAGAACGTGTCTTCCAGGAGTTCGCGGCGGAATGTGTTCGTCTGCAGAGGAGTGGGGGTAGACATGTCATCATTGAGAATCCGGCCCAGAGCGCACTTTGGGAGACACCGAGGATGGTCGCCATCGCCCGGACTTACCAGCGTCAGAAGTGTGTCCTGGACATGTGCGCGTGCGACCTCCGAGGGAAGGGAAGCCGACTCAGCTTCTGGTTAGCTCCGAGATCTATGTCAACGAGTTGGCAAAGAAGTGTGATAGACATCATGAACATGGACAGACGGCGGGGGCGAATACGGCACCTTCGGCATGCTACAACCAGGTGGATAGGTCCTACGAGACGGCCTACGTGGCGGACATCGAGGAGGGCGATGTCGGAGACGGGGAAGTCCTAGACAAAGACTGTGTGGGGGCGTCAGGCGTCAAGCTTCCCAAGCATACCTCGCAATGGCAACTGCGCTGAGGAGAATTCACCAGAACCTCGGGCATCCAAGCAACAAGGACTTGGTACGACACCTGCGTCTCTGCGGAGCCTAAGAGGAAGCGACGCAGGCTGCGCAGGGTTTGAAGTGTGAAACATGCCGGAGGCTGAGACGACCTGGACCTCAGCGGCCTGCGAGAACGGTGTTACCCATGGACTTCAACGACGAGATCGCCGTCGACATCTTCTATTTGTACGACCACGGCAAGATCAAGCACCATGTTTGCAGGAAGATCCAGAGACTTCGTCGACGAGATGGAGAACCGCGAGATCCAGGTAAAGTGCATAGCGGGTCAAGCCCATTGGCAGCTGGGTCAACTGGAGCGTCAACAAGGATGGATGCGGACCATGTGGGAAAAGGTGGTGGAACACGAGAGCGTCGACTATCAGGAGGCAGACTGGGCGTTGTTACAGGTGTAACCATCTCAGAAAAAGCCATGGATATTCCGCGGCTCAGTGGGTTCTTGGAGTACAACCGCGGATGGAAGACGGCCTTGCAGAAGGTGAAGCAGAACCCTTGCCAGCAAACACGGCCGGTGGTGCATGGAACAGGAACTGCGAAGATGGCCTTCTTCGAGAGCCAAGCAACGGAAGCTGTACGGCAACCCTTGGTAGACCACGTGTAAAGAAGAACGAGTACCAGACCGGAGACATCGTGTACATCTATCGGGTCAAGAAGACGCCTGACCCCCAACGACGGTCAATGGATTGGGCCGGGCACAGTGGTGGGCACAGAAGGAGCATCGGTGTGGGTGTCGCGTGGCGGAAGCATCTACGACCAGCGGAGTCGGGCGAGTTGGGGACCCTTTTTCAGGTACAGGCCATGCAGCGAGACCTACGGCAACTCCTGGAACGGATAGATGATGAGGAGGTTGATGACGAGGAGATCTTTCACGAGGCCGTTCAGAGAAGGACAGCGAAGCCTTTCTGCGGCAGAAGCGACTATGGCCAGAAGGAGTGCCTAGGAGGAGGATGCGTCAGAAGGGACCTATGCCCTTGGCAACAGAGGTGAAGCAGGCACCGGCGGAGGGTGAGCCGGAGGAGGATGAAGACTATTTACCTAGCGTAGCACCTGCCGGAGAAGAGATGGCCGGGATTGACCGCGAGCAGGACGAGTTGGGACTTGCAGATGAGGCTATGTGGACCTCACATCAGCGGACACCGAAGACGGTGGCGAAACAGCGAGCACGTGGAGTATGGCGGCACGCATTCTCTCGGAGGCGGAGAGCAAGGAGGTGGTAAAGAAGGTACACCCGTCCAGGATACTCAACTCCCGGTTCGCTTACAGGGACAAGACCCAGATGAGCTTGCGGATGAAGTCACGAAGATGGACAATCAATCGGTGATCCAAACGTCAAGGAGACGAACAAGATCGTCAAGATGGCCCAAGAGTGCAGGGGAGAGGCGCTGAGGTAGGTCGGCAATGGCAACTGGGACGACTTGGTCTTGCTGGTCTTCCATGACGCAGAATGTTCCAGAAGAACGAGCAGCAGACTTTCATAAGGATCGCGGCAGGCGATCTTTGAAGGGCATCTACTCTCAGCTGGGCTACATCCTGGTGATCACACACCGGGACGCCTTGGAGGGCAAGAAGGAGAAGGCGGTGATGTGCGATTGGAAATCGCATGCTTGCCAGAGGGTGTGCAGGAGTACATTTGCGGCAGAAACAATGGCAGCGCTGGAGGGCATTGAAGATGCTATGGCGTTTCGGGCAAGCTTGGCAGGTGCATGCATCAGACGGGGCGGACTAGATGAGGGCTCGTGCCGAGACGTCATCCCGATCGTTCCACTCACGGACTGCCGGTCACTATACGATGCCATCAAGCGTGAAGGAGGACCCAGAGCAACTTCAGAGAAGCGCCTCCTGATTGACTTGTCGGCATTGCGTCAGCTACTTGATGGAGAATTCGATTGTTGGGGCAAACAATTGGGCTGGCGCACCACCATGCGTTGGATACCCACCACCTATCAGCTTGCAGACCTGCTGACGAAGATCAAGAGATCTACTGAGTGGTGGGCCAACATTCGGGAGGCGCAACTCCCTGTCCGTCCAAAAAACACATAAAATTTCGGGAATGTCAAACGAATATCGCCCGATTGCCCTTTGTGTGTCTCAATCATGTTGTCATCAATAACCACTTGCAAGTGGACATGTGGTAAAACTAAAACAGATCCTTTGCGTGCCGCGGCTGGACGTGATCTCGGGCATTTACAAGACCCGTTTGGTAGAACCCATGGTCATCCAACAAACTGACCAACTTTTGACTTGGAAAATCCCGTTGCAGGCTCCAACTTGAGTTGTAGGCCGATCATATGTTGCTCTTATGGCTATATGCATCTTAACAGGGAGCCACCTCAACAGTGGTTGGTGGACATCAACCCCCCACCTAAATGATGTCCACCAAAAGGTCCCCAAGTAAAACTCATAGCCATATGACTTGATCCTTGTGTTTGTGTTGCAGGTATTTATTCTAATTGACTGAGACGGGGCAGTTGCCGCGCAGAGAAAGACAACTGGCGAGTTTCGGCAGTGGGCACAAATTGCGCATGCTTGGCATTTGGTGACTTTTCACGGGCCCCGATTTTTGACCAGCTACTACTTGTCTTCATGAATGTGTCAATAGCAAAGAACACATCTTTATTCCTCGGCACGAAACGACTTCCATCTCGGCCTCTGCAAGCAACGTTTCTGCATGTCAAACGAGCGCCTGTCTCCAGCGGAAGGGCCATCAAGCAAACCCCCAAAGGAACCTTGTGTATTTGTTTTCCGCGGATTCACGATGTCGAATGGACTGCGGAGGTGTTTTTCTCTGCGAACGAGTGGCAAGGGTGAAGCTCCCTCAAATCAAGGATTGTGTAGTTCAGCGACTGTGGCGGAGTCTGGTTTCAAGCGCAAGGTCCGCTGCGCGGGAAAAATCTTTAAATCAGATTCCGATGGAGTTTCAAGCTTCAAGACTTGTGCATTCGTGCAGGCATACGTGAAGACCCTGGGCAACGTCAGTACGTCGATGACGGGCCTGTACTTGAACAGCACTGTTTGGACCCCCCGCGGGGTAACGACCATCAGCCGCTTGCTTTCACCCATGTCGCGCTGGGTGGAAAGGCTCTGATGGGCCAAAAAAACCACGAGGAAAGATGGGGCGGTGGTGCCAAAAGGGTAACACTCCTTGGCGGCCGGGCTTGCAAGGAGATAAACTCAACTGAAAAGGGCACCCTTGAAAAACACAGACACCTGCACCCTAGGGTTCAACCCCCGTTAAAGAAAGACCCAAGGGGACCCAATTTGGACAATCCTGAACGGTCAACAATGGTGGTGGATTATGAACCCATTGTTGTTCTGGTGGCCTGGGCCTAAGACCCCAACTCGCGCTGACTTACCCCTGGAAGATCATTTTCCTCTTGCAGGACCCCTTGCCTCCATTTGCTTAATATTTTTTTTCCTTAATTTTTCTTTTCCCCTCTTGGTGTTAAAGTGGGACTAGATTTTTCACCACTGGACACATCTATTTTCCAATATATTTTTTCAAAGACGCGCCACACGGGACACGGGCGCTTGCCGAACGCTGAGCGCCGGGCGCCCCCGGGGCTGGCCCCCGCGAGACGCGTCGAGGTCTGGACGTGGTGGTGGCCTGCCCAAGCCCCGCCTACCTGGGCCAGATCTTTACCCAGCTCACGGCGGCCCAGATCGTCTACAAGGCGATCCGGCGCGCGCTTTTTTTGGCGGGGTTTCGAGGGTGGCGCGGCCTGGCGTCTTTCCGGTTCCAGGGGTCTGGAACAAGGGGTCGAATTTTTCTGAAATTTTGGGGAAGGAGCCCATTCTTAAAGGGTCATGGAGACTCGATTCCACTAGGTCCCCCAGCTAGGTGCCCTTTCTCACCCCTTTTTTGGTTGGGAGGGTTCCCCTACCAAAATAGACTACAGAAAAAAGGGTACCCTTATTCTAACCTCTCTACTGGGATTCCAGTTACCTAGAGTCTCCTTCTGACCCCTTTTTCCATGACCCCTGGAAAAAGGGGTCGTAACCCCTTGGTTTGTGGGTAAGGACCCCATTCTTAAAGGGTCATGGAGACTTTTGCCCTTTTTTGGTTGGGAGGGTTGCCCTACTAAAATAGACGACTGAACAAAGGGTACCCTTATTCTAACCTCTCTACTGGAGGACCTAGTTTTTATTCGGCTTCGGCTTCGGGTGGCGAAGGTCGGGTGTTGGTTCCAGGTGTGATACCAAGGAAATAATGACCCCCAGAATCAACCAAGATTCCCCACAGTTCACCCAGAAGAAAGCACGCCCCCTATTCAGTAAACTTGTTGATTATGGGGTCAACATCACCATGGACCATCTGCAAAGACGGGCTCCGGCACTCAGCTTCGGCTTTTTGGCACTCAGCAAGAGAAGATCAGTGTTTCTTGCCCGTGCATATTATCAAAGATCTGTCCATAGCTGCAGCACCTCTTTTGCCAAGTGGGACACTGCCGCAGGGTTGCAGTGCTTGCAAGTTGAACATTTGCTGTTTTGGGGGAGGGCTTGCAGCTTTGAGCTGCATGTTTCCCGTATGGGTTTGCCAATTTCTTCCTGAACCACCCAGAAAGTTTGTTCGGGCTTGTCCCGTGAACCTACCAACACCAACAACCAGGGTTTTCGAATTCCCATGGTGCTGGCTACTCTTTAGGTCGCATGATGGTTTCCGGGACACTGCCAACCTGCCCCTTTTCGAAGCCGGCTTTCGTTGTGGAACGGGAGCCTCACTTCCAGCCTTACGGTCTGAGACATCATTGAAGGCGCCTTGAGACGACTTTTTGCGGTGCGCCGTTTGGTCGATTTGGGTGGCTCGTGTTTTTTGGAGCTGGTGCATTTTTCTGGTTGATTTAACGGGAAGCCGAAAGGACCACCACCGTCTTGGTCCCCTAGTTTGACCCTTTTGGCGTGTGCCCCCCTTTGCACCCGATCATGAAACGGCTCCGACTCGACTCGCAAGGCCCTGCTGCTTACGAGACCATCAGGCGGGAGAGGTCTGCTGCTTCGAAATGGCCGTGAGGGCCAGCCATCAAAAAAGTTCAAGTGGCGGTGGAAAACAATGTTTCAGTGCCACTTGTGACACGAAGGGAATCCCCCTAGAAAGTATTGTAAACCAGTCATGGGGATGGCAACCTGGTACAGAAGGTTATTGTCCGCAACCATGTTTAAGTGATGACCGAATGCCAAAAGCACTGCAACATCTGGCTGCAATTGTTGTCGTGAAGTGCCCACAAATCCTGCCCGTTTCCGTTTTTAGCCTTCAAGGAGCTGGCTGGGTGTTGGCGTCCACTGTTTGCTTGCTAATGTTGACCTCGGATTAATCAACCTCTGTTTATTCATATGGGGGGTGTCCCTGGTTTTAGTGGGGATTTGTTGCTTTTGGAGGGGAACAGCCCTATATTAATAAACAGGGGTTTATTGATCAACATTATTCAAGAGTTGGTTTAGTTGGCTTTAAGATCCCAAATTTTCCAGCTGGCTGCCAGCCAAATTCGCATTTAAAGGCAGCCACAAGGTTTGGCCAAAAGATCCTCTGAATATTTGTTGGCATCTCTCACAACCCCCTCAGACTAAAGACGCCCCTTTCTAGCCCCGAAAATGCAAAAAAATGCATTTTCAAAATAAAGCTATTGACAATTCTAACTCCTTTTGTTCTCTTATCGGTTCCCATTCCAGAAGTTAAAAGCGTCTGGCCGGAAACCGACAATCTCTTATTCCTCGTAAGGTTTGGCAAGCTCGTGTACCCCACTTCAAGCCCCCCCCAATAGCACAAGACCTTCTCTGATGAATCCCAGCCCTCTCCAGCGCCTGAAAATTAGCAAATATAGCTAGAGTCTCCTTCTGACCCCTACAAAAAGAAGAAGGATCGATGTTTTAGCACGAGTCGAAGCAGGCTGCCGACATGCAGAAAGAAGTTGAATTGCGTAGATCAATTGGATTCTGCAGGTGCGTGTGGCACCATGCTCAAAACTTGCTTTGCAGCTTGCGCCACCAGCAGACAGATCACCTTCAGTTCCGTTTCCACCAGCTGGAGCTGGTGGTAAGCTGCACTACAATCTGTGCTGGCGATGTGTGAAAGGAGCGACATCGTGGTCCTACGCTCAACATCTTTGGGCCAAACACCCGCAGACAAAGGAGGCGAAGGCAGCAAGCAAGCGGTACAGGGGTCATAACCCCTTAATGTTGGGTAGTGACCCCATTTTTCAAGGGTCAGAGGGAGGCTCCAGGTAGTTTCTTTCCTATCGCCGTGCGACTGGCCAGAATGAAAGAAGTCAGAGGACAGGCCAGAACCCAATGAACCCGAGGGCGCCTCCAACATCTTCAAGAGGACCTTGTTGACCTTCAGGAAGAAGGGGAAGGGGGGGTTGGGTTAGATCAGTTTTGCAAGCGGCCCTCATGCACATCCATTTTGGATGAGAAGGCTTCAACTTCAATCCTTGGTCGAATACAACGGTTTTCGCGCGGGGAAGCCCTGCATGGTTGTTTTGGGGCGTGGAACACCCAAGCGTGGTGTTTCTTTTACATTATGTCTTGGGCTGCTTGTTTCAAGGAAACCAGAGGGACAACTCCCATGGATTTTGGCTCAGTTTAAGACCATATCTTGAATCTCGAAGGGGCTTTGGTTGGTTTCAATATGGCCATGGGTCAAAAGCCCAATCGCACCCCCAGTGAACATCCCAATCCGCCCTAAAAATAGGTTCTAAAATGGGTGGTGCGCCTACCCCAAAATGATACCACTGGTTTTGACCCACAGCCATATGGCTTAGAAACCCAAAGACACCCTCATATCTGGGTGTTTGAATTGGGGATATCACGGCTGGACTTTGGTATGATCGAATAGCCCCGGAGAGACCGACATTTAGGAGACTCACATGTGTCATGCCCATAAAAGGTCTAACGTCCTTTTGCGCGGGGCTTTGAGCATGTACCAACCGACACCTTCTGGCTGGTACCCATTGCCACGCGCAAGCAAAGCCTGAGCTGAAGATTCGCAAGGGACAATCCCATCCGGAAACAGGTACGGAAAGCCGCCCTTTGTATTTCCTGAAGCATGGGTTTGGGTAGACCATTTTAGTGGGTCTTTGTTGCGTACCTAGAATATTGGGCCTGTCTCCAACAATTGCCTCGTCACTGAGCTTTCGCAGTTCTTTTGACTTGTAGACCTGCGATGCGAGGAGTTTGCGAGAGTTCTACGAAAAGTGCAAAACTTTTAGCCACGGATCAACAGAAGTATCAAGGCAAATGGGTGTCGATTTTGGAGGGTGCCCTTGTTGTATGGTTGTGGAGTAAAACCAAAAGGAAAGCCACCATTTTGTGGGGAACTTCTCAGGTCCCATGAAGGAACTATCCATGCGTCGGCGCAGGTGCTTGGAAGATCTATCGTTTTGGCTCTCCTATCGTGAATTACATCGTCGTGCCCTGGCCAAACTCGAAGATCAAACTCGTCATCTTTTGTAACTCGCCTGGCTGGAGCAACGTTGCATCGATGACGCATGATATGGGTTTTCAGGACTGAGCAGGACCCCATTCTTAAAGGGTCATGGAGACTCGATTCCACTAGGTCCCCCAGCTAGGTGCCCTTTCTAACCCCTTTTTTGGTTGGGAGGGTTCCCCTACCAAAATAGACTACAGAAAAAAGGGTACCCTTATTCTAACCTCTCTACTGGAGGACCGAGCTGAGCAGGCAGCTATTCGCTTTGTTTAAAGAAACTTGGAGAGTATTTGCGCTTTCCTTACTAGCTCGGCTTCTGCCAGAACGTGACCCAGCGCCAGCTGGTTTTTGCGGGTTCGCAGAAACCAACCTTGTTTCCCATGGGGGGGGGGGAGGGTCGAAATTCCAGTTTTGACACACACACTCACACACCAATCACGAACACCTTGTCCCTCACAGGATATTGAGCAGCTCGAGCAAGCGAACCCGATCGCGTGGGGATCCCTTGTTTCAGGTGCTGGGATCATTTGATTCGCCACAAAGTCGTGCGAAGTATTGGAATTGCAATGATTTCTACTCAGTGATTGCTGCAGGGTTTCCGGTATTTCCGCTTTCCTGTATTTGCTTGAAACTATCTGTTATTTCCCCTGTTGGCTTTAAAGGGAATCTATCACACTGTATCACACTGGACACTTGTTGGTTCCAGGGAACGTATCCACAAACATCACCTTCCAAGTTGAGTTTCCTTTGGCGGATAATTGTTTTGCGGGGAATTCAGAGAACCCGCTCGCAACCAGGCTGAGCGCTTCCCTTTCCCCGCTAAGATGCTTTGTTCGCTTTCCAAGGCTCGAATTGATGGTGGCCCTTGTCAGTTTTTTTTGTTTTTTTTTGTTTCTGTTGTATTTCAGAAAACGAAAAAGGAAAAGACCACTTCGACCGAATGCTCCTTTTCGCGCCCCTTTTGCATAGCTCCGGCGCTCCTTTTGCTTTTCCGCCCGAGGGACACGTTCTTCCGGGCGCATTTTGGCTTCAGCCCCTGAAAACCAGCGCCGGCTCTCTGGGCTGGGTGTGTCGGTGGCTTTTGGGGGATGGTGGTTTCTCTGGTGCGTTTTGCCAAGGGATGTTAGGACTTTAACTTTTTGCCAACCAATGGGTTTTCCGTATCAAACCACTAAAAGTTAAACTCACTTTTAGCAGGGGAGCAGAAAGCAACCGAGGTTTCAAGGTAGTCTTCGTCTTCGGGTAGAGCGTTCCAACATATAGTTCGGTGGCTTTGGTTCGGACGTAGATGATGCATGGGTTCAAAAGCCAACAAGCATGGGGAACCCTTTTTCGGGTTCTTTGAAAGCAAGCCACCATTTCATAAACTCCCCCATATAAAAGTTCAAAGCAAGCCATTTACACAAAACAAACCTTTTAAACACAAGCACCCCTTTTTCGGGCATTCCAGCTTGCCCCAGATAGAAACAGAACGGCCTCACCCAGCTGAAGAGCTTGTACGGTCTTAGGAGCCTCTTCTCGTGCCTACGGTGCTGCCAACGGCCACAGACGCCGCCTGGCTGACATGGGCCCGAGGACATTGGTCCTCGACTCCGGAGTTTCCAGTGGGGGTTTTGGTATGGAGGTATGGAGAATCGGTCCAACACGGGCGGTTCCGTTGTTTTCCTGTTTTTTGTTGTTTGGAGGTATGGTGGGGTGTCGTTTTTTGGGGACACTCCTCGCCCAAAATGCCGGTTCTCGTTTTGGTTTCCCTTTAAAAACCCACCAAAACAAGGGGTAGCCTCGAAAAGAATGTCCAGCTCCGGTGCGTAGTGGCGCCCTTTTTCACCTTTTCGTGGGAAGGGTTCCCCTTAAAGCTCAACCAGGCAAACATGGATGTGTGTTTTTCCTCATGGCCAGTGGGCATCTGAGGGTATTCTGGGTCTGGGAATTATGTGCCGCTTTTCTAAGCGGTATACACCGCGTCACAAGCTTATACACATCCAGACCAGCAAACACCATCACTGGACATGCTCTTGATGGCGGCGGGGAGCACGACATGTGCTTCTCGCGTCCGGCCCTGATCATTCGTGATTGGTCCAAACAGACACCTGAGGTTCCAAAGACGACCTCTACAACTGATTTCCTGGTTCCCTGCACCCATCAAACACAGGGACCCCTACAACTGATTTCCTGATTTCCATCACCATCCAAATAGCAGCCAAATCTGTTTGGACATTTCTACGGCCCTTTTTTGTGACTGGCCTGCTTTAGATCCGCGAGCAGGCGCGGATGAAGGAGGAGGTTTTACTGCTTTGAGCTGCGTACTTTCGATGTGTCGTGGAATCAATGAATCATTCAATCTATCTGTTGCTGTTTTGAGATGCGTACTTTCGTTCAATCTGTCTCTCTATCTATCCACCAAGTGTTCAATCAAGCAACCAATCTATTTATCCGAATCAATGAATCATTCAATCAATGAATCAATGAATCAATCTATCCACCAAATGTTCAACCAAGCAACCAATCAGCCAACCAGCTAACCATTACACATTACTCATATTGTGCGTCCTTCACGGCTTTAGACCGAAGCGCACAGCATCGCCATCGGAGTTGGACTGCAAGCTTGGCTGCAACCCGTGGGTTTCCTTGGAACTTCTCTTTGTACATGTTGAGACACGCGCGTGGGCAAGGCACACTTATTTTCACAAGTCAAGGAGATAAGCCCATAGGTGTCCTTTTTAGGTTAGTGTGGTCAAAATAGAAGGCACTGGTTTAGATGGGTTTTATTCCATTATCAGGGCCATCTATTTTCCAAAAAGGACACCTATGGATAAGCCTTGGAAGTTTCCGCCGGCACCAGGGGGGTTCTTTTGCGAATTATTTTTGGTCTGCGGCCCTTTTGGGAGGAACTTGGGGGGGCTTACTTGACTTTCCCTACGAGTTCGAGGGGGCTCACTAACTTTCCGGAAGCCGAGAGGAACCCCCCTGCAAGTTAGCATGGAACAGGAAACACCATCTTGGGCAACCTCCATGTTGGGTTCCATGCTAATTTGAAGGGATGCACAATTATGCAAAGAGTTGGGCCCCACCCTTTCATGAATCCAAAACATGCTTTCTGGAGCACATAAGCACTCATATTGATTGTTCATGGAAAGCTCGAGCTTACCTCCCCGTGTCATATGCTATAGTAAGGGATATTAGGACCCAAATAGGGATGGCCCATCCCTATTTCCTTCGAGCGGTTTTTAGAAGCCTTCTCGGGACCCAAGACGCTCCCTTCCGAACCTTTGTAGGGGGGTTCGTCAAGGGATTCGTTTAAGTGGGAACGTCTTCCCAGATTGTGCCTTGGCACCTCCTCACCCAGAGAGGGTACCCCCTTTATGGATGGTTTTAAAGGGAAACCAAAAGTAAACCCGCCATTTTTTTAGGGGTCCCCACAAAAATGGACACACACACACACACACTGGGAATTTTTGCCAAAGGGAGGACTCCAGCACATCTTTGGGCTTTCTTCCCTTCAGACAAGCCCGTGCCTGCTTTCTGAACCAAGAGACCCTAAATTCCTCCATTCCCCAATTGGCTGTGGGTCAAAACCAATGGTACCATTTGGGTAGGTGCACCACCAATTTTAGTCTATTTTAGTGGGGATCGGGATGTTCACTGGTGGGTACGGGATTTTGACCCATGGCCAAATGAACATGCCCAGATTTCTCTTTGGGTAAGTCCGCCAAGCAAACTCAGCTTATCCATGCCCTGGCTTCTCGAGCCCACCATGCGCCTTCAGGGAAACTCCGCACCTCAAAGTCTAATCTGCATGAAATTCCCTGGTCGCTGTAGAACCAGACCGCTGCAGACGGTTCTTGCTTAGATGGTCTGGGAGATAGCTAAGCGGTTAGTAACCCTGGTAGTAACCCACTTAGTATGGTTGTAAGTCCCCCATAACCAGTTGCTAACCATTTTGCGATTCATCCAAGACCATCTAAGTGAGGCCATCTTCACAGACTACGACACCTTCGCAGCGCAGCTGAGCGTGCCGACCACGGCGGCGCTACAGGCGGAAGTGCGAGTTACATGAGAAACCGGCCGGGGGTCGGCAGACTTGGTTTAAACAGCCGGATCATGGAACCCTTCAACTGGGGTGTCCCATCTCCCAACAATTTAGGGGGACGCGACATGTGCCAAGGAATCTGCAAAGCTGCCTTTTTTCTTTTTGGACGCGAGACGTGCAAACGTTTTTTGCTTCCACATGTTTAAGCAGGTGGTCTAATCAAGTCACCCTCTCTCGCATGTGTGGTTGCGGATGGGCAGAGGCGATGTGGCGACCTGATTTTTTCGTTTGATTGGTCTGCTGCTTGTGGCCAATTGTTCAGCTAGCCCTTTCTTGGTGGTTTGGGAATTCTAAGCCCTGGTTCTTGCAGACGTGGATGTAAAACCACCCTAAACCCCAAACCACCAATCCAAACCACCGCCAATTGGAGGGAAGTTGATTTGTGATGTTCGTAGCGTCAGCGCCTCAATCCAGTACCATTGTCAAAAAGGACATAGTCAGCTTCAGAACATCCTCAGTAAACAGAAACACGTATTGCTTGTTTGGGTAACTAATGCTTCCTCACCTTCTACTCCTTTTTCGTGTGGCTTAAACAACACATATCCCCTCAAAAGGTCCTGTGGACATGAGTCTCCAATGAT